GGGGGAAAGAAAGAAGAGTCAAGATATATTATGTACAAATTGCCTAATGATGAATGCAATCATTATGCACGTCAAAAGAGTACCAATGAAATTAATTTTAAGAAACTGTAAAAACAGATAAAGGGATCAAGTCAACAAGAGGAAATAACAATTTTATATATATATATATATATATATATATATACACACCCAATTATGTAAAGCAAATTGGTATATCTAAAGGGAGAGATAAACTCTAATAGAATAACAGTTGGGGACTTCTGCACCCCACTTTCATCAATGGACAGATCAGTGAGAAAAAAATCAGCAATGAGACACCAAGGTCAAACTGAACTAATGATCCAGTGGACTAACAGACACCTACAGAACATTTCCTCCAAGAACCACAGAACACACATTATTCTCTCCAGCACAGACCAAATTACAGTATCAAGTTCTCTAAAGTTCTACGTCGCAGCACAGAGACTATAGTTCCCAACAAGTCATTACGTATTTTAGAAGAGCTAGAAGAGAGGAGTTTGAAAGAAATGATGTGTTTATGGAAACAGGAACGCTAGTTGCTCTGACTCAACCATTACACACTGTATGCATGTATCAAGCCATCACACTGTAATCCATACATATGTACAATTATCCTAATTAAAAGGGAAAAAGACATCTAAAATGAAGTTTATCTGAATTTTCTTTTATACTTACTGACGGATGATTTCCTTAAAAAAAAAAAAAAGTATCAGCTAATTCAACATCACCCACACCAAGTCAAGTCACGGCAAGTGAGGGTTGTTAGTGGGCTTGTGCAGTCACCATTGGTTCCTGTCCTCTCCAAAGGAGGTCAACAGTTCCCCCGCCCAGTCTCCCCACAGCTGAAACATCTACATGATTCACTGTGGCTGAAGAAGTCTGCACGGGGCTTCTGGGGACAATTTTTCTGACGAAAAGGTCAGAAATGATGGCATCCGTCTTTAGGTTTCTCCCTTAGGATGCCACAGTTCAGGGCTCTCTTCAGTCTGCCATGCAGTGCCTCCTTAAACATAAACAAAGAGCCCAGGATCAAGAAACGCAAGGGAAAGCCCAGAGAAGCTCAGGTCAGCCTCAAATGTTCTAGCAAAACCAGTAATCTCCAACCTCTGCCTACGTGAGGAAAATACTGTTTCCTGTTTGTCACTTTCTTCTGACACATGGCAGTCTTGGGCAATAGTTGGTGGAAAACGAAGGAGAAAGAAGCAGTGGCAGAGGGGAGGAAGGCCTTGTTAGGGCCAGGTGGCGGTTATCATATAATGAACAGCCTGTTTTCATTTATATGAGAAGCTAATCACATAATACTAATACAAATATACCAAAAGCCTACCTTTCCCCAAAGACATCTAAAATGAAGTTTATCTGAATTTTCTTTTATACTTACTGACGGATGATTTCCTTAAAAAAAAAAAAAAAGTATCAGCTAATTCATGAAATAGAAGTTTCCCCCACATCATTTGAACAGGATGTAGATTCTCACCTACACTTCTATGTAATTACTGAAATATCTAGTTTCATTGATATTCCCCTAAGATGACTATGACCTACTTACTTTATAGATACATGCACAGTCAGCCATAAAAATCAAAACAGAAAACAATTCAAATTAAACTGCTCTGCTTGCTTATAGAAGAGAGTCTGTGTGTTGGGGTAGAAATTGATTTGCATCAGCATTCACTAAAGCTTCTCAGGCTTCCAAAGAGGAAAAATACTCTCAAATAGAAGGAACCAACTTGGCCCCCAACCTCCAAGGGAGAGGAAGTTACCAGAAAACTTCACCAAAAGAAGGAAGGGGAGATCAAGGTGCCTGGAATCCTGACCAATGGCAGGCAGAGGACAAAGCTTCTGAATGAAATACATGGTATTGTCCTGGAAATATCCTTAGGCAGGATCTTGTTCAGGTCGTCAAAGAAGCCACTGACTCAAAAACTAAACAGGCCAATGTAGTCTTTGGAGATTTATTAAAAATGCATCTCAGGGTTAGCTGAACTACCCCCCTAGTGTTGCCCTACCTCCACACTATTCACCCCCACTGTGCGGAAATGAAAACCCAACAATGTCAAGGTGAGGAGACCCCTTGGAAGCAAGGGAGGGGGCAGAGACAGCCAGGTAGCAAGAGCACAACCTTAATGGTCACCAGGAAGGGTCTCTGTGTATCTGGGGACTGTCAGAGTGAGGTAGAAGAAATAAAGATAGGTAAAAAGATGACAAGAGAAACTACACTTTTAAAATCATGCTTTTAAGGAAACGGCAGCTTCAGGATGAAGTTACCCATAGTAATGATGCTCTTTCCTAGACCTGTTCTTCTTTCACTTCTAAATTCCTAAGAGTCTTAAGCATGCCGTCCATAAATTGGGCCTGGTTTTCATCTGATACTCTAAATCCATAAATTCCAAGGACTTCCACTCTCAGAGAAACAGTACTGTACTATTAACTGGGTACCAGAACTCCAAACTTGAAACACATGCAAACGATTTGGAATTTAACCTTGTTATAAAGCTGGCCTTGTCTTCAGCCCACTAATAAGCAACCTGACCTTATGGAAACAATCAGTAAATGAGAAATAACTCAAGAAATAAACATCCCAGATCATCCACCTTGAAGATACCCCCAAACCAAACACCCCCACTCCCAGACAGTGAAGGGCCTCACCCTCGAGCACAAACCTTCCTTTCTGTATACTTGTTCCTGCATAAATCTGTCTATGCCTCTCACTAAGGCATCCTGAAATGCTTTTCTGTGACAAAAGTCAATGAACCTACCACCTAGTCTGTGTGTGTGTGTGCAGTGGTGGTGAGGGGGGTTTGAGGGTCCTTCTCCTCTTTCAGGGGACCTCCTTTTTCTTTGCCTGTGAAAAGTGTGAGAAAAGGACCAGGGATCCAGTGATGGTATCTGTTGAGTTCGGCTTTAAGTCAAAGAAAGATTTCATTTTTATTGCAGTTACTAATATCCCTGCCTGTCCTCTCCCACTGGTGAGCCCAAAGCAGGGGCAAACAGAAATGCTATGCTCAGCACACAAACCACTGGCCACTTGGCAGATCCTCACGAAGCACAGCTCTGTAACTCACAGTCTAAGGCTCACAAGAAAAGAATGACCTTTAATCACTAATATTCCAGCAAAGAGACAATAGCCTTCATGTATCTCTTCTTTGCTATTTTTGAAAAGGAACAAATACCCAATGCTGTCTGACACCTAAACTCTGATGCTTGGTGGTAACAGTAAGATATAAACTTTTATTTCTAAAAAATTCATTCACAACTAATTTCCATAAGGATAGCATTATTAAACAAAGACAGATAAACTATTATTAAATACTCAGTTTGGAGAGTGTTTCCAAAAAGCTTCTAACTTTTAATGCCATAGAAAGCACTGCATACAGAAAGACTAATGTTGTAAGAAATATACAGTGAAAACCAGGTGACTTCAAAAAGGAAATACAGTACTTGTCGCTGTGGACGTAGGTTCCACCTCTTGGTGCACCTAGCAAATGCTACAACTATATACTGTTGGTTCCAAGTAGGGACTCAGTGTTTACCACAAGCACTGGGGAGTAGTGTGGTCCATAATTCCACCTTTATCCACTCACACACCTAAGAAATATCTCCTCAGTGTTCACCAGAAGATACTGTTACAGGCACTAGGGAGTGGAACAGTAAACAAAACAGGCAAAAATCTCTGCACTAGTGGAGCTTATATTACAATAAAGAAGACAATCATTAAATAAAATATATCTTGTTGACTGGTAGTAAGAACAGTGGAGAATAAAACTTAAGACAGAGGCACCAATGCACTTTATTTTTCACTATTTTGGTACTGGGGATTGCATCCAGGCCCTTCACACTGAGCTACATCTCCACACTCACTGTCTTTAATATTTTCAGCAGGCTCTTGCTAAGCCACCTGGGCCAGGCTTGAGCTCACCATTCTCCGGCCTCAGCCTCTCAGAGAGCTGGGATTACAGGCATGTGCCACTGCGCCCAGCTGACTTTAATCTTAAACAGAGTAATCAAAACAAGCACCTCACTGGGAAGATAATTGAGTAAAGTCCAGGTGTGAAGATCTGTGGCTATCTAAGAGTCAACATGAAGTGAAAAGACCTAAGTTAGAGCACCTGATGGGTCCACAGACAGAGGCTTAGTTTGACTGGAATGAGAGGAGAGAATAGAGAGAGAAGAGAGATTGGAGGATAATCATGGGGTCAGATTCCACAGGATCCTGACCACCACTGTAGGGGTTTGGCTTCTACTCTCAAAATCACCAGATACTTCAGAACTAAGGGTGCTGCGATCTAACTTAACTTTTAAGGGAATCACTATGTCTCCTCCCTCAGGGGCAGAAGGAGAACAATATAGAAAGACCAGTTTAGAGGTTGCATAATACAGGCAGGAGATGCTGCTACCTAGAGCCAGTGATAACAGTGAACAGTGTCAGAGATCAGACATACTTTAGATAGATTTTGCTGATAAACTGGATAGAGCTATGAGAAGAGGAAGCAGCCAAGTTTACTCCAAGGTCTTTGACCCCTGAGACAGTGATAACCTATGAAGCGTCTGTTGGGGGAGGGGAGAGCCAGGAGTTATTTTAGAAATGTTAAATTTACAACAGGAAAAAATACAGTACACGATTGAATTTGTGCATCTGGAGCTCAGAGGAGAGGTGTGGACTGAGGTATGAATTGTAAAGTTGTTAATATATGCACGTGTAAGGCCACGAGGCTGTAAACAAAGGACTAAAGGTCGGTCCTGGGCGCTCTGAGATACATCAGGTAAATGACGAGTGTGGGTGATATCATGAAATCTGAAGAGTTGGGTTAGATTCTTAATCCTTCTGACTTTACAGCCTGACACAGTACCTGGAAAACTACGGATGACAATAAGCAGGAGAATAATTTAGTAAAACAAATTAACAAATGACTATTTTCTTTTAGTGAAAGTGCCAGGGATCGGAGAAATAGCAAGGGCCACACGGAAATTTCCAATACCTGCACTCTGGGCGGCAGGCCAGGGGCGACGGCTGACGGTAAAAATCAAACATCCCCATCGAAGCACCCCTCCCAGGAAGCTCGTCCTAAAGTCTAAATACATACAGAGCGGAGGAATCGGGGCGTATTCCCGGCCTTGGGGCCGGCGTCCCTCAGCTGGAGTAGGTAATGCACACTGCGGCTTCCCGGGTGTCCACTGCGGACGCGCGGGAAGCCAGGGTGCTCAGGTTTCGGGTGGGCTCCGCCCGGGAGGAAACAGGGCGCTGGGAACTGTGGCTCGAGCCTCCCGCCTCGGCCCCGCTTCCACAGCCCGAAGCCTCACCCTGCAGTCCATCACTCCGCAAACAGGCCAGCAGCTGACTGCGATTCAAACCAACCCGCTTCAAGGCGAGGTCGCTCCAGTGCGCAGGAGCAGCTGCAGCAAGGCATGCCGGGAAGCGCAGTTTCCGGGCCCAGTAGGTCCTCCGCCCCGGCGACCTCAGGCGGAAATCCGGCGGTGCCCATGGAATGCGCAGGCGCAGTGATGACGCCTCATATGCTCGGAGCGGGGCACGCTGGGATATGTAGTTCCTCCCTCACCTCCGGTGGGGCGCTTGGTGTCCACGTCGCCCGGGAATCCTCCCAGGTCTGCTAACTTCGGCAAAAGAAACCCGTGCAGCAGGGCAGAATCCAAGATTAGAACATGTTTCTAGTTGTAGGAGAACGAAAGGATCAAGCAACTTCTGAACAATAGGAGAATAACGGATCTCATTAAGGAGCTTTAAAAACAACTCAGACTGACTTCTTAAAGGAGAAACCACCCTCTTCGTCCTCGTTCCTGATGGTCAGGAGAGCAAACCACGTAGAATCTGCTTCTCTTGTCTTTCATTTCTTCCATAGAAATGATGCCTTAGCTCCTTGACTGGTAGGTTAATAGGTGCTTCTGAGTGTAAGCAGCTAAAAGTAAGAAAGCATTTAAAATAATAAAACGGCAGGAGTTTCTGGGTATTGCTTTAAGATCATATATTTGCACAGACTGTAAGGGAAAACCTTCTAAGGTGAAAACACAACGCAGCTTTGCATTTCGGTCACTGGACCAGAAGGATTTTTGTTACCTCGCTCCCAGGGCAACTGAAGCTCTGCTCCTGTTGTGTTTTTTTTTTCTCTTGATTTCCAGCTGGTAAACAGTTTTCAAACATGTTGACATCTTTCATAAAACTGTCACTTCATTCATGGAAAACCTACGATCTTCACAAGGACCACACCCTCTCACTACCATACCACAATCACCTCAATTTTCCTTCCTCCCTTTCACATGGTGATGTATTCTTCGTATACTTGCTAGAATTATCATTTTAAAAGTAAATCTAATTATTTCAGCCCTTACTTAAAATCATCTGATAGTTCTCCGCATTGAACTGTTTTCCAATAAACAGGAAAAAGACCAAACTGCTAATAGCTGCAGCCTAATCCACCAGCCTCCTCTGCCCCTATTCTCCTGGGAATCTCAAACTCAAACCTACTAGCATAGCATGTCTTTGTGCTAAGGCTCTGCTCACTCTTGTAAGCATGCCGTTCTCTTGTCTTAACCAGTCTGGTGAACTCAACAGAAACGTAAGGGCATCTTCTGTGAAGCCATTCTCCTTCCTCCCAAAGTGCTTTGCAGTTGTCAGTGTACCTTATCTCCTCTTCAGAAGGCAATAAACTGTCTGAGATAAGAATTTTGTTATTTTTTTCAATGCCAGGTACAATGCCTGGCACACAGTAGGGGCTTGGAAAATTCTCGAGTGGTTAATTGAATAAATTTTGAACACTGCTACGAGAGAGGCTATGCTTCATTCTCTAACTGTGTTCTTTTTGTAGGCCAGAAAGAAAATCTGCTTTCTTCCAGAGTGGCCTTTTTTTTTTTTTTTTTTTTGACATCGCGGTTGCACAAAGGACAGCAAAGTTCCGTGCAACCATGTCCCCTTGGAGCTGGAAATGTGTTCTGTGGACAAGGAAAAACAAACGCAAAAAGACAAAATTTTCATATCTCACTGATACAGTGGGAGAATAAAAATAGCAAATCTGGGCTGGGGATGTAGCTTGGTAGTACAGGGTTTGCCCAGCATGTATGAGACCCCTGGGTTTGATCCATAACATCACAGATTTTTTTTTTTTAAAAAGACAAACTCACTAACTTTATTGGCCTTATATGAACTCTCCAGATACTTTGGTGAAGTATTGGCTGTAGGTATAGGGATCTGGGGAAGTCTCTTCACCTAGCCCCCATAGTGTTGCCTGGGATCGAGCTAGAGCCTCCAAAATGCAGGGCGAGCACTCTACCAATGAGCTATGCTCCAAGCCCAAGTCTCTAACTTTTAAATTAATATTAGATCCACTAATTAAATTTTATGCTCAGGTAGATTTCCATCTTGTTCTACTGGCCACAGTTATGGGTAAGGTCAAGGTTATCACAGTGCTGCTGCAGTTCTGCGTTACATTTCCTAAGATTAAAGTCCCCTTTTGCTCTCAATACAGAGACACATCATCCTCAAAAGGAAGGAGCCAGTGTGTTTTTTTAACTCATTCACACAGATCAGCTACTTGATCATTCCAACATTTTCTGGTTGAATAATAACGACAGTGTCTATCTACTATACTACTTGATCTGGGCCAACAGATATATTGATGATACACATGGATGATACACACACATATATATCTCTCCACATATGACCCTGACTGAAACCTTAAGAGGTAGCAATTATATTCCTACTTTTCTGATGAGGTAACTAAGATTTAAGGAAGTTAAGTATATTGCCTAGGGCCACACAGCCAGGACATAGAATGGTGTTTTGGACATGGATCTGTCTGGCTTAACAGTCTATCAATTACAACTAGATTCCATCTAGATTCCATTTCTTCTTGTTCTCTACTATACTGTCTTTTTCCTTGTCCCACTGGTTCTTTCCTTTTGAGCAGTTTCTTTCCTTTTCACAATATCTATTGTACTTTTCAGATTTTATTTACTCTTTCAGGTTCTTATACTAGGGAGATAATACGATGTATACACATGTGAGTCTGATTTATTTCACCTGTGAGTATGGTCTCTAGTTGCATCGTTTACCTATAAAAGCCTCAAGTTTATTTTTCTTTATAGCTGAGTAATATTCCATTATATAAGAATACCACATTTTTTTTTATCCATTCCTCAGTTGATGGGTATTTGGTTGTTTCCACTATTTAGTATTACAAATTGCACTGCTATAAACATGGGTGCACGTATATCACTGTGGTATGATTTTTTCAGTTCTTCTGGAAAAATACCCAAAAGGAAAATAACTGGGTTGAGTGGGACCGCTAATCTTAATTTACTGAGGCATCTCTAGACTGATTTCCACAGTGATTGCACCAGTCTACACTCCCACCAACAGTGGGGGAAGAGAAAGTAGGTAAAAATCTTGAAGACATAGGGTTAACCAACTGTCCCTTGGAAAAAGGACTTGTATCCAGAACATATAAAGAATTGTAAAAAACCAGGCCCCCCAAATTCAAAGACTCAATACAAAAATGGGCATCTGAGATGAATACGTACTTCTCAGCTGAAGAAATACAAATGGCAAATAAATACATGAAAAAAAGTTCAATATCATTAGTCATTCAAGAAATGCCAATTAAAACAACACAGAGATTCCATCTCATCCTAGAAAGTATGGCTGTCATCAAGAAATCAACCAATTACAAATGCTGGAGGGGCTGTGGGGAAAAAGGTACCTTCTCCACTGTTGGTGGGAGTGTAGACTGGTACAAAATATATTTCAAGTTGAAAAATGAGACATTGTTTCACAACAGGACTATATGAATTTTTGTGTTTATATAAATAATCACTGGAAAGTTGCACAAGAAATCAGTGAAAGTATAGGTAGTGTAATGATATAATTTTCTGTTGAAAGCAGGATAATTTTAAGCTAATTTTATATTTACCGAACAATTGCAAAAAATGGCAGAGTAGCTGTGCACCTTTCCCCAGTTTCTACAAATGTTAACATCTGACATAATCAGGACTGCGACCAATTGGCTGGGATCCTTTTGCTCAATTTGTACGGAAATCATGAATTGGCAAAGTGCAGCTGTCTTGAGGTTGGTAGCTTTGGGCTTTGAGTGCCCTTAGTATTAGAGTTCCCGGCTTTGAGTTCGGCACCCTTAGTTCTCAGTGTTACAGCTGTGGGCAGTTCCCAGCTGCTGCTCTCATCTCCTCACCAGCTGGGGCTCTCACCCTTCTTGGCAGCTTCCTGCGGCTTTTTAGCCACTTTCACTGTCTTTTTGTTGGTTCTTTTATAGGTCCACAGGTCCCCTAGCTCGCTACCAGTCTCTGAGCGCTTCAGGCCAACAGCCCTTAATATTACCAGCTCTGTTTTAGTGCAACTCCCTCAGCCCACTCCACCTTTATTGGAGACTGTGGTGCAGCGCAGAGGGGAGTGAGTCCTCCTGGACCTCCCCCTCAAAGCATGAGGAAGAGCTGGTCCCAGCATGCATAGTCTTCTGCATTTTGTGGACCTATTTTGGGACTTTTACAGTAGTGAAGAGGCCATGGGAGGCCATGGCCGCAGGACAGAATCACTTGGGGTAGTTTTGTCCCTTTTGCAGTTAAGGTAAGTATCTCCTGGGTCAGCCCTGGGCATGTAGAACAACGTCAGTTGTCGTGGTGACAGCTCAGCACAGCTGCAGGTAGGAATAGCTGCCTAATTGACAGCTCCCACCATTTATGGCATGGTTGAAGTCATGACTGTACCGTTTTTAAAAATTTGCTTTCTATTAGTACATATTTGTCATACACAATCATCACACTCATCATGGGAATTTTTACCTGTACACAATACATCTTAATTCTTTTTCTTTTCTGTTCCCCTTCCCGCCCTCCAAGCCTTTCTCCCCTCCCCATTTACAAATCTGTTTCCAGTTTTCCCTTCAGCTCTCTTTCTTAAAATCCCTTTTCCCTTCCTTCCCTTCCCAGTCTCCCCTTCTCTCGTTCCCCTTCCCTTTTGAACCAATTCTTCCTACTTTCTAATATCTATGAGTGCATCACTTTTAAGGACTTCCGAGGAGCAGTGATGGTGTCGATTATGGCACGTGGAGGTTTGGGAATTTGCAGGACGTGATGATGAGTCCCAGTTCATTCTGATCTTTCCTGTCAAGCATGTTCTCCCAGTTGCTCCTGAGAGAGGTGGCAGCAGTGGCTGAGTGAAGAGGAGCCTCACAGCTGTCAGCCAAGTGCAGCTCCTGTCAGGGCTGCAGAAGCCAGCAGTAGCCCAGAGCGACCTGGTTATCACGGTCATTCTCAGCGGTGGGGGCTGTTAGTGAGATCAGGCCCCCCAGGGCTCTCAGAAGGGAAAGGGAAATGTTGGACCACATTTT